CTGTAGTCCCAGCTACTCAGGAGGCTGAGGCAGGAGAATGGCGTAAATCCGGGAGGCGGAGCTTGCAGTGAGCCGAGATCCGGTCACTGCACTCCAGCCTGGGCGACAGAGCGAGACTCCGCCTCAAAAAAACAAACAAACAAACAAACAAACAAAAAAAAACAAATTCACTAATGCTTTCTTCTGGTTTATCTAGTCTGCTATTAAATCTAAATCTGTGTAATGGGCTTTTAATTTCAGATATGCTTTGTAACTGTAGAATATTCACTTGGTTCTTTTTATACATTCTATTTCTCTGTTGAAATTCTTCATCTTCCCATCCCATGTTCCTTCCCCCATCTTTTCCTCTATTTTCTCTTTAAAATTTATTATTATTTTTTTCTCTAGCACATATCAGCCAGATATTTTCTTTAACATATTTATAATAGTGTTGTCGTCTGTTAATTCCAATACTGCATCATCTGCAGGTCTGCCTCTGTTGGCTGTTTTTCCCCCTTATTTCCCCTTTAAAGTGGTTGTAAGTCACATTTTCTGCTTCTTTGTATATCTTAAATGTTTAAATTGTATGCCAGACATTGTATATAAAAAGAATGTAGAAACCAAAGCTGTGGTTTCCACTGCAGAGAAAACTGCTCTTTCCTGTTAGGCAGTTTGATTAAGGGCTTATCACCTCAATTCAACCATTAATTGATCTCGGTTGGGGCAAGGTTGCAGCTTTCGATAGATTTAGTTAACTTGAGTTTCAGATTTCTTGATGGGGAAAAAGTGTTTTTATTTTCTTCAGATTGAGTCTCGCTCTGTCGCCCGGGCTGGAGTGCAGTGGCGCAATCTCAGCTCACTGCAACCTCCGCCTCCCAGGTTCAAGCAATTTTCCTGGCTCAGCCCCCTGAGTAACTGGGATTACAGGCACGCTTCACCACGCCTGGCTAATTTTTGTATTTTTAGTAGAGATGGGGTTTCACCATGTTGGTCCGGCTGGTCTCGAACTCCTGACCTCAGATGATCCACCCACCTTGGCCTCCCAAAGTGCTGGAATTACAGCACTTTGAGCCCCCACAAAGTGGTGCCACTTTGGAGCCACCACACCCAGCCCAAAGTTTTCTATTTTGATTACAGGTATCTCCCTCCAATGATAGGCCCTCTCAAGACCTTGTGACTTTGGGTGATTTTATTCAGCATTTCTAGCCTGGCCTTCTGCATTCAGAAAAGTCCCATAGGGAAAACCAGGTACACATTCAGGACTCCTCCAGATTCCTGTCTATCACATCAGTTTTATTTGGCCATGTGTAGCTTTTCTGGTTTCTCTTCCTTCAACCAGAGTGACTTTGTCTATGGCAAGCTTGATCCTAAGCCCATACCCAGACCTGGCAGATACCCCTAGGAAGAAAAATGGACACTGGTGTCTACTTATTGGGGGAACCAGCCCCTGATATTTCAACGTAGGTTCTTTTCTGTTTTCCCTAAGTGTCGGCTGGTCTGAGAAATAAAGGGAAAGAATACAAAAGAGAGAAATTTTAAAGCTGGGTGTCCGGGGAACGCATCACATGTCGGCAGGTTCCATGATGCCCCTTGAGCCACAAAAACCAGCAAGTTTTTATTAGGGGTTTCAAAAGGGGAGGGGTATACGAATAGGGAATGGGTCACAGAGATCACATGCTTCAAAGGCAATAAAATATCGCAAGGGCAGAGAGACAGAGTGAGATCACAAGGCCATGGTGAAACTAGAATTACTGATGAAGGTCCATGTTCTGCTGGGCACACGTTGTCATTGATAAACATCTTAACAGGAAACAGGGTTCGTGAGCAGACAGCCGGTCTGACTAGAATTCACCAGGCTGGAATTTCCTAATCCTAGCAAGCCTGGGGGTGCTGCAGGAGACCAGGGTGTATTTCATCCCTTATCTTCAACTGCATAAGACAGACAGACACAGAGTGGCCATTTTAGAGACCTTCGCCTGGAAATGCATTCGTTTGTCCAGAGTTATTCCTTGCTGAGAAAAGAATTCAGCAATATTTCTCCTATTCGCTTTCTGGAAGAAGAGAAATATGACCCTGTTCTGTCTGGCCCTGTAGGCCGTCAGACTTTATTGTTATCTCCCTTATTCCCTGAAAATTGCTGTTATCCTGTTCTTTTCAAGGTGCTCAGATTTCATATTGTTCAAACACACATGCTTTACAAACAATTTGTGCAGATAACGCAATCATCACAGGGTCCTGAGGTGACATACATCTTCAGCTCATGAAGATGATGGGATTAAGAGATTAAAGTAAAGACAGACATAGGAAATTATAAGAGTGTTGATTGGGGAAGTGATAAATGGCCATGAAATCTTCACAATTTATGTTCTTCTGCTGTGGCTTCAGCCGGTCCCTCTGTTTGGGTTCCCTGACTTCCCGCAACATCTGCTCACCAAGGAAAGCCTCTTACTTTTCTGGAATTTAAATCCTATTGATCTCTCTATATCCATAGCTCTCTGATGATTTTTTAAATTTGATATTTGTAGTTTTTTTCGTAGTTGTTACCATGAAAATAATGGTCTGCCTTTATCTTCTGTAAAAACTGGAACTAGAAATCTTTTACCATATAACTTTCTGATAAATGTATAGCTATCTTTTTTGTACAAGAGACTAACAAGTTCTAACAAAAGCTATGTGACATTTCTTATAATTTCTTGATTATTCAGCTTTTAACTTTAATTAAATAGCACATACGCTGTGTGATCATTCTGTATTTATAAAATTGAACTTGTTACAGCCAAGTGATCATTTAAATTGTATCTGCTTGGTAAATGCAGGTGTATCTGTTGCTGATCGAGAGGCCAGTCTGGAATTAATTAAGTTGGACATATCCCGTACATTTCCATCTCTCTACATCTTTCAGAAGGTGAGGGTTTCTAACTAGCTTGTCATTACTTAAAAAAAAAAATCTATCAATATCCAAGGCAACAGATTATTTAAATGAAGAGCTATTACTTTAAAAAAGGCAAAACTATAGAAATTGGGAACCTTGTATAAAAATCTAAAACTAGTTATAAAATTATAAAGGAATTTCTATTATTTTATTCCACTGACCAAAATACATTGTAGTTAGCATAGCATTTAATACCTTTTATGTAGTAGGTACTTGATGAATTTTATTACAGTGAATTTGTTTTGCTTTTTATTTTGTAAGATATATGAATTATTAATGTTTTGGCCTAGTATATTGTTAAAGTATAAAGAACTTTGTCACAAAACTTAAAATGTTTCAGAATTATCATTAAAATAGGAAGAAATGGGTTTTTTTTTGTACATAGGCTATTATGAAGTTGATTATACCTTATTGAAAGAGAAATGACTACATTATATATACTTTACCTTTGGCGGAAGTCTTTATTTTTATTTCTTTTTAAATTTGAGATCAGGTCTTGCTGTGTTGCCCAGGCTGGACTCGAACTCCTAGGCTCAAGCAATCCTCCTGCATCGGCCTCCTGAGTAGCTGGGATTATGGGATTACAGGCATGTACCACCACACCCAGCTGATTCAAGTCTTTATACATGGAATTCTTCTATGTTTAGATTTATAAAAATAAAATGAGATAAAAATTTTTACCATTAAGATTAAAATTATTGGCCGGGCGCGGTGGCTCAAGCGTGTAATCCCAGCACTTTGGGAGGCCGAGACGGG